GTGTATGAGACAGAAAGCGATGAAATCGCTAAGGGCCGCGTTACCGTATACTGCACAGCCAGGTACGTTCAATCGTAGACAGGTGTGGTATATGCTACGTACAAGTACTCAGTCGCCAGCACAGAAGCCGTATGCAGTAGCTGCCAAGCACTGGGTGTCTATGGCTCAACGGGGCAGTGTCAAGGGGTACGTGCGGATATGATGTTTTGTGAAGTAGTAAATGAAACGCCTCGCAATGAGAATAAGATGCGAAACAGACAACCAGATGCGGGTTGTGGCCCAACTATGGCACACAGTGGGTTGCCTGCTTCAATCCGTGTTCATCTATGCATCTCTGTCCGTTGTGTTTCATAGTCACTGAGTGTCTCAGCTGGCTTGTTATGAGTATGGCGCACTGATCCGATTTTCTTGACAGGCGGGATACTTGAATATATGATGCTTTACAAAACTCGAAACGCTCCACAAAACTCGCTACGTGCAATGAATGTGTCGGGTCCAATATATCGGAGAGCCTCGACATCCATAAAGTGATACTCTGTCCATACGAATCAGTGACTGTGAAAGCAGACCCGAGTCTGATACGTTTACGTAATCGTGCCATTTTCAACGCAGTAATTACAACAAAAGAGAACTGAGAAGGCATCTGGAGAAGAAACAGCGGCAATTAGGGGGTTTGCAGCCACAGTTTTACCAGGTACGTATGTACTACAAGTTTGGGTCAACTTGTTGACGCTATGACCTTGCATCAATTCTTTCTGATATTATTCCACTCTTATATTCGTATCAACTTTTCTTCTTGTCTGGCGCCAATATATTTGAAACACAGGATGCGCTCTACCTGGATCACATGCCACAGTATTCAAGACCAGGCCACGCCATCACACAAGAAATCTTCTTCTTCGAATACGGAGTGGTGGTTTTTTGGGGTCTGGCAGAACAGGAGGAACAACTAATTCTGCAGGAAATAGGTAACGCTCTGCCAACTATTAGATGTATTCAGTGGGTCAATATTCGTATCACTTTGGAAACAGGGTGAGAGTACAGGAAGTGAGCATCTCGGGGCTGTTAAAGTGAAATTTCTGTAGAATGTGGGCAGTGGTTTGTTAGTTTATTACTGCGGGTGTAATGTGTACTCTTTTGATCGATAGTTTTTCGTTTTGTGAGAGTGCTTTGCCAATTCTGAATACAGAATAGTAATCCGCTTTCTGAAATTAGGAATGGAAATTTGTTGAAGTGCCGCGTGAGAAGCTCTGAACCTGGTGAACGTTCGGGCCTGTTCGGTACTATCATATTTCTGATCAGGTATCTAGCTGCAAGAGAAATTGTCTTCTCATAGAATACGTTCCATTCATAGCCGATATTTTTATCGAGCCCGTGTGTATATTACTCTACACGGCGTATGTGCGGGTGTGTGCCTACTATTAGAGAATAATGAGAGATCAAATAGCTGTCACACCGCACGTGCCCGTATGCGTCTTGTACGCATATATACCTATACGTGTGTATCCATCATCTACCCTCTGTGCCTATGTGTATCCCGGTACCGAACAGTACAAAAATATCAAGCTGTTCTAGTATATGTGCCTGTAGGCCATCTTGTACGTATCGGCTATTCTGCGTGCATCCCTTTTTAAAGTAACACTTTTGTGCCTACCTACATGTACTACCGTACAGAAAAATTCGAGATCAACAAACTGTCGGACGACGACGTGGATATAGACGAATTCGAGTTTATTATCGACCCCACAAAACCCCCACGACTAGTTGATGACGTCATAACCATAAATAACAGCCAGGTAGGTATAGAAACGCGAATTTTTATTGGAGCGGACAAATTTTTATAACCCCACCCGCCCCCCAATAAACCTCAGACCAGGGTTTTAAAGTGAAGACCTTTATGTCGCCGGCACGCTTGTTCATTTCTGTACGTAGTAGCAAGGTGAAAGGAGTTCAGGACTGTACCGTAGTTGAACCATGTAGACGCTGGTGGGAAACACGAGACCTCCCTTTTGCAAGTATACCCGGCCCTTGCTATAGGCAACAGCTAGGCGAGGGAATGTGGGGGCGTTTGTAGTTATGGACTCTGCTTAGTATCTCTTAACAAACCCACAAACAGATGTATATATATGGACACAACGTTTTAAATATTTATGTATATATGTATATAGACACAATGTGTACGTCTATTTATGCATATCTAGCTGTATACTTAATATCCAGACCTTTCATCGTTATACGAACACTTGCTATCGTACTTACCCATCCCCGCTACGGCTCTCTCATGTGCACAGGACTATCGACTGCGGCTGGCTATCTCATACGCGTTGTCGCAAAGCACGAAACTCAGTGTCTTCGAAGAAATGATCGACAAGACGATAGATGCCCACAAGGTGGGGCGAGGCGAGTGTGTTGCTGTGTGCGTGTGTGTGCTATATGCGCATTCTTGTTTTAGGGTTTAAGGGTTTTGGGATTCGGGTGTTGTCGCAAAGTACGAAACTTGAGTGTCGTCGAAGAAATGAGCGACCAGACTATATATACCCACAGAGTGAGGCGAGTGTGTTGCTGTGTATGTGGGCTTATATACAGGGCATTCTCGTCTATGGGTTTGTATCTCTTTGCATGAGGCTATAAGCCTGAATTCTATATGAAATTTTGGCTTAAGATCTGAACCTACGCGTCTATTGCGTCTTTGGTTCTACATGTCTCACGACTGTTACCTTCCATGGTACGTTTGAAGTTTAAAAAAAG